CCCCTAGGTGCGATTATGGAACCCTCTAGGAGAGAAAGTCTGAGCTATGAGACGGTTCAATAGTAGGAGCCTCTCGGTGCGTAAATAGTAGGTATAGAAAATCTGAGTTTAGAGCTTTGCACCCGGCACAGAAATGCAAGAATTCTTGCGTTGCGTATCCGCGGAGATACCACCGTTTAATATCACGGCGACTCCACCTCGCCTTTCCGCCGCCTCTACTCCGTGCCCTCTTCCGCAATCCGCGCCCTTTGCGCGGATTACATGACATGTGCCATCTTCCCCCCCATCAGTCCTCCCTCCTTCATTCCCTTCCACTTTCCCAGCCCCCTCTCCCCCTTCTTTCCCCTCTTTGCCCATCGCACTCTTCCCCCCAAATTCCGCCGTGGCTCGCAGCCGAGTACATGGCCCTCCCCGCATCCCAATAGTCGGTGCTGGACGCGGAGCGCATCGAGCGCGTGGCATGACACATGTGCCCTCTTCCACCTCTTCCCCCTACCTGCGCTAATTGCCCTTGCAGCCGAGTACATGACCCTCCCCGCGTCGCAGTATTCGGTGCTGGACGCGGAGCGCATCGAGCGCGTGGACGGCAGCACGTTCCGCTGCTACGCGCACCGAGTGCAATTCTTCAGCGTCGAGATCTGCCCCGTGCTGCTCGTGCGCGTGGATGAAGAGGCGGACGGCTGCACCATAAGGCTGCTTTCAGCCACGGTAATCACAGGAGCGGAAGCTCAGGGAACGCCCAGGGAAAGCAGAGGGTAGGACGGGATGAGTTCTTTCTTGAGCGTGGAGATCTGCCCCGTGCTGCTCGTGCGCGTGGACGAGGAGGCGGATGGGTGCACCATAAGGCTGCTCTCCGCCACGGTACGTACACCATAGGGGGGGAGCACCGCGTGCAGTTCTTGAGCGTGGAGATCTGCGCCGTGCTGCTCGTTCTCTCGGCCACTGTAAGCGCGGGGGGAGGAGGGGAGCACTGTAAGCAAGAGAGGGTTGGTTGGGGGATGAGTTCTTGAGCGTGGAGATCTGCGCCGTGCTGCTCGTGCGCGTGGACGAGGAGGCCGATGGGTGCACGATCAGGCTGCTCTCCGCCACGGTACGTACGGGCGGAAGTGCAGAGGGACGCGTAGAGGGAAGCACAGGGGGAAGCACAGGGGGGTGCGCAGGGGGGAGCGCAGGGGGAAGCACAGGGGGGAGCGCAGGGGAAGCGCAGGGGAAGCGCAGGAGGAGCACAGGGTGGGGAGCAGCGCAGGCGGTTGGTTGCACCATCCGCTGCTCTCCGCCACTGAAAGGGGAGGCGCAGGGGAGGCGGGCGAGAAAAGGGTAGGCGCATAATCTATCTTCCTTCCCCCCTCCCCCCTCCCCCCTCCCCCCATCCCCTTCCCTCTCCCCTCTCCCCCCCTTTGCCCCACGTGCCTCTCTGGCCGCCCCACCCCACCTCACCAGCTGGACGGGTCGCCCATAGTGAAGTCACAGAACAACAAGTTTCGATGGGAGCACCGCACCCCCTTCCCCCTCCCCCTCCCCCTCCCCCTCCCAGTTCCCCCTTCCCCGTGCCTCTCCGGCCCCCCAATCAGCTGGACGGGTCGCCCATAGTGAAGTTTCTCACTCCGCCTTTTCCACCCCCTCTCCTTCCCTCGCCCTCGGTGCCTCTCCAACCCCCCCCTTCCTCACCAGCTGGACGGGTCGCCTATTGTTAAGTCACAGAACAAGAAGTTCCGATGTAAGTGCCGCCCTTTGCTAAGCTTCGCCCTGTCAAATTGCTGTCCTCAGTTCAGCAAAGGCCTTCGACAAGCACCAGTACCCGCATAATCCTTGATGCATGCCTTTCGCCACTCCTTCTCCCTTACGCCCCTCAACCCAGCGTTCCCGGTGAACCGAGTGCTTCTCAGCGCGCCCCCTTTCCTCGTCTCCTCCCGCCCCTCCCCTCCCGTGTTATCAGCGTACCCCTTTCCTCCCCTATCCCTTTCTTCTGCACCTCCAGTATTTCCCCTCTCTCCCCAGCGTCGATGGTGAACCGGGTGCGGTGGGCGCCTGACCCCTTCTCGCCCTCCTTCCTTCCCCTCCTTCCCTCCACTCCTTCCTTCCCCTCCCCTCCCTCCCCCTCCTCCCCTTCCCCCAGCGTCCATGGTGAACCGGGTGCGGTGGGCCTCTGACCCCTCGTCGCCCTCCTCGCGGCTCATCATGTCAGATACCACTCTCAAGGTGAGCCGCTCTGCAGGGGTGGACGCATGCCGTCATGCTATGGTGCCATGCCATCTCCCTCCTCTCCCTCGTCGCCCTCCTCTCCCTCCTCTCCCTCCTCAAGGGACGTCATAGAGAGTGCCGGCAACAAGCTGCCCCATGAGTACGCCAGTGCGCCTCTCAAACTATCCATCTTCCCCCATCTTCCCCCATCTTCCCCCATCTTCCCCCATCTTCCCCCATCTTCCCCCATCTTCCCCCATCTTCCCCCATCTTCCCCCATCTTCCCCCATCTTCCCCCATCTTCCCCCATCTTCCCCCATCTTCCCCCATCTTCCCCCATCTTCCCCCATCTTCCCCCATCTTCCCCCATCTTCCCCCATCTTCCCCCATCTTCCCCCATCTTCCCCCATCTTCCCCCATCTTCCCCCATCTTCCCCCATCTTCCCCCATCTTCCCCCATCTTCCCCCATCGTCCCCCATCGTCCCCCATCTTCCCCCATCTTCCCCCATCTTCCCCCATCTTCCCCCATCTTCCCCCATCTTCCCCCATCTTCCCCCATCTTCCCCCATCGTCCCCCCCCACAGAGCTCAGTGGAGGTCCCAGTGCCGTTCCGGATGATCCCAAGGGACGTCATAGAGAGTGCCGGCAACAAGCTGTTGGAGCAGATTCTTAAAGTCGCCGTTCCGCGCTTCCTAGAGCAGGTGAGCTCTTTGGTTCCCTCTTGTAACCTATTGGCACCTGAACGCACACACGTGCCTGCTGGCAACAAGCAGATCTAAAGTGGCCGTTCCGCGCTTTCTAGAGCAGGTGAGCGCTGAGCTTCTTGAGTTCTGTACCGTGTGCCTCTGCTCACGACATCCTTTGAGACTGCCGGCAACAAGCTGTAGGAGCAAATTCTTAAAGTCACCGTGCCGCGCTTTCTAGAGCAGGTGAGCGTTGCGCTTCCTTAAGTGCTCCCTTCTTACTATGGTCTGTGAGCGCACATGCATGCGTGCCGTGCCGGCAACAAGCTGTTGCAGCAGATCCTTAAAGTGGCCGTGCCGCGCTCTCTAGAGCCCGTGAGTGTTGCTTTTCCATTCACTACCTCCCCTTTTGTTGCGCATTGAGGTACTGTACGCACACATACCTTGTGAGTCCCGGTAACAAGCTGCTGGAGCAGATGCTCAAAAGTTGTTGTTCCGCTACCCTATCTCACCCCATGGCTGATGGAGTATGAAGCCTGGGCTGCAGGGGACACCTCTTGAAAGCCACTCTGCTGCTGCTCCTGCTCTTTGTTTCCTCTCCTCGTCCTCTCACCCTCCCTCTCCTTGCATTGTCCCTCCTGTCCCTTCTCTCTGCTACCTCTTCCCTGCACCATATCTCTCTGCCCCCTCCCTCTCCACAGCTGAAAAAGGACTACGAGGCATGGGCTTCAGGGGACACCTCGCGAAAGCCCCTCGGCACAGGGGAGTTGTGACTTGTACCCGGTACTAGCAGGATTGTAACCTGCGTATATAGTAAGAGATGGAAGCTGCGACTCGGATAGTCGTGATGGATACAGGGTAATCAAGTTGGACAATGGAGTGGTATTCAATGTGTGAGTGAGGCCGTTGCTGCTTGTATAGGGTACAGCATTACAATAAATTCAGTGCTAGTGCTTTGTCAAATTTATACACATCTGGGTTAACAATCTTGGCACAACAATTCAGAAGTGTAGAGGCAGACAACCATAAGGCTGTGTGTGTGTGCAGCGACATGCCCTGCTGATCCACTCTGGCTGTCGTGCAACCAAGCCTGCTTCCTGGAAATACACATGAGAACTCGCCTGGGAGCATCCGGGAATGTGTTGATGAGTATGGCAAGAGAGGGTATACAAGAGTGTGCAGAAGAGGAAGTGGGGGGAAGAGGTAAACAGAAGAGTGAGAAACATCAGGCAAAAATGAAAAACACGGATAGCAGATGCTGATACGGTAAGAGGGCCTATTGCACCTTCCCTTTCAGAATGGCCGAATTCAAGCGCCACTCAGCACCGCTCATTCACTTTCAGCACCACTCACCCACTCACAGCACCACTCACCAAGGAAGAAAAAAATATATATGCGCAGACGCATGTATGGGTGTGTTGGACTGTGGTAGCAGCCACAGCAGTGGTCCTGCACATGCTCGCGCCTCCACCCACCATTGCCTGCCCCTTCCCGGCCCCACCCCCACTCCCACTCCCACTCCCACTCCCACACACATCATACAACACACCCAACGAGGGGGGGAATAGAGACTGCTGTCCCTCTTGCCATGTCCCACCCTCGCCCGTCTTCTCACCCCTTTCTTCCTCTCATGCGCTATCGTCTTGCCCACGTCACCACTTTCCTCCTCTCTCGCCTTCCAGCCTACCGATCCCCCTCACCCTTCCACTCGTTGCCTCCTCCTCACGCTCTCTTTTCCTCCCTCCTTCCCTTCCTCTTCCTCTTTCCTCTCTGGTTCCTCAATCTCCTTTCCTCGCCCTCTCTTCCCCCTTCCAGCTTCATCCTCAGAACCACCAGCACCTTCCCCATTAGAGGGAAAATCGCTACCATGAGTGTTAAGCAGTCTCTGTTGTCTTTGAGTTAACTCTGCAAGCAAAAGACAACGGATTGGAAATGAGCTAGAATGAAATGATACAAAGGATAAAGATGAAAGAAGAAAAAGGAAGAGACATTAACACATGGACGTAACAGTGACATACTGTAGGGACTCTAAATATTTCAAGAAACATCTTGTGAGCCTCTTGCCTCTCACTTCAGCATCAGTGGCAACCACTAACCGCCTCAACTTTTAGCTCACCATAAATGGTAACCATCACCTGTCAATTCGCCGTCACTGGTAACCATCTCAAGTTCCAACAGGGAGAGCAGGCGAAAGAGGTCAACTGCACTGCTGCACTGCTGCGCCCCCCTGCCACTCCCCAGCTTCATCCCCCCTCTGCTTGCTGCTCCGCCCAACACCATCGCAACTGGCACTAGCAACGCTGCTGCTGCTGCTGCTGATGGTTGTGGTAGTGGTAGTGGTGATCGTGCTGCAGCTGCCGGTATTCCTGCTGAGGCTGCTGTTGATGGTGCTGCTTCTGCTGCTGCTGGTGCTGGTTCTCGTGGCCCTGCTGTTGCTGCTACTGCTGCTGCTACGGCTGCCGCTGCTGTTGTTGCTGATTCTTCTGGTGCTGCTGCTGGTGCAGAGGGAATGGGAAGAGCGGTGGAAGGTATGGGCGCAGCAAGAGGAGAAGAGGGGGGAGGAGGCGGAGAAGAAGGGGGAGGAGGCGGAGCAGCAGGGGGAGGAGACGACAGTGCAGCAGTGGCGAGCATGATGGGTGATTGTGCTGCTGCAGTGGGGAGCATGAGCACGAGCGCACCCGAGTCCCCTTCACAATCAAATGCATGGCCGTCCCGGCCCACAATAAGGAGGTCTGTGAAGAGGGACGTCTCTCCCTCTCTGTGCTCCACTGCATATGCTGCTATGGTGCCCTGGGTTAGCCCTGATGCGCTGCCCACCTGAAGGAATGAGAAGAGAGGAGAGAAAGGAGAGCAAAAAACAGGAGAGAAGAAAGAGGATTCGGAGGAGGGGAGAGAGGGGAGAGGGGAGAGGGGAGAGGGGAGAGAGCACGTGGGTGGTGCAGAACGGCTTGCCCCTGCCATCACCCTTGCATCTCCCTTACCTAGACACCTTCCACGTACCTTCCGTGCACCTTCCACGTACCTTCCACGTACCTTCCACGCACCTTCCACACGTGCTGTCCCACCACACTACAAATGTCGTCTGATAGGTCGATGCGGCGGGGGGGACCAATAGGGCCGATTCCCGCCACTTGCGTTGTCACAACTGATAGGTCAAACTCCTCATGGAAAGAAACGTACGCGCCGTCAGTGCGCACAAACGAGTCTGCTTGTAACGGGGACAAGGGGATGAGGGGAAGATGTGTTGGGCCATGTGCGGGAGTGGGGGAAGAGGGAGGTTGGGAGAAGGTTGTATGGGAAGGGGGGGGGGGGGGCTGAGGAGACGGGGAGGAATAAAGCTTGTAGCGGAACAATAGCTGAGTGCCACAACTCTTATGGGATCACATAATAACGAGTACACTTGGCACCTGGGTTCATGTTGGCGAACACGCCGAACCACGCGTGGTCCGAGGCAAACGGCAAGGCTCGTTCCACCGAGCCTAAGAACCTTCCCGGACCAAGCGACGCAGGCAGGGGGTGAAACAGCTTCTGCTTCGGCTGGTCCAAGTCAACTGCCACGTGGCGAGCCGCCAGAAACCCCACCCCAAGACAACCACTGCTCCCACCAACACTGCTGCTCATCCCACCAGTGCCGCTCGTCCTCCCATGGTCACCGCCGCCGCCACCGCCGCCACCGCCGCCGCCGCCGCCGCCGCCGCCACCGCCACCGCCGCCGCCGCCGCCGCCGCCACCGCCACCGCTACTGCTGCCACTGCTGTTGCTCCTGCCGGCTTTTTTAACAATCGCTCCCAGCGTTCCATACACCTCCTCGCTTGCAATCTGCGACCCCGGCCCGATCTTACTGCCACTCCCCCTCAGCTGCTCCACCAGCGGGTTATCTATAATAGCTACGTCTGCTGCCACTCCCACCGCGCCTGCCACGTCACCTGCCACGTGGCCCGCAGCGCCCGGGCTGCTGCTGCTGCTGCCGCCGCTCTGATTGGTCAGTTCCACCACGTCCACATCACACTCGTACCCGCCCGGCCCCTGCAGCTTCCTCGGAAGCTTCTGCGCCGGCAGCAGCCACTCCTCGTGCACCTTCCTTGGAACGAAGACGACTATAGCGGGGATATCCGTGAGTATTCCGCGCCGCGTGCGCAAGCCGAGCGCGGTGCCGAGGCTGTGGCGGCGGAGCGCCTCGCCGTGGCACGCGCGGATGAGCATCAGCTGCGCGATCGTCGTCGCGGGTCGCGTCATCATGGCGCCGCGAGAAAGCCGCGACCCGGCGAGCGTCAAATCTGTCAGCGGCGCGCCGGGATTCGCTCTAGCTTCGGAAGTTTCTCTAGCGTCGGTGCGACCACTACTCGTGGTTGGATTGGTAGCGAGATTTGCGGCGGGGGGCGCGGGGTGACGAGGGTTCGAAACTGCAACTGGAGACGCCAGCTGTCGGAGGAAGTACTCGTGGCGGGCGCGTGGCGACGCGTGCGAGGCACGCGCGTCGCAGGGCGGTCACTGGACGTATCTCGGCGTGGGCGCTGGCTCGTACTGCCCGGCCGATTCGAGCGGCTGCAGCGACTGCCGCGGACCGTTGGATCGAAAGCATCGGACGGCCGGTTTAAGCCGGCTGAAGAGCGGACCTAAAAAGCTGGGGGAGCCTCGATAACGCTTTCGAGTCGTCACTGATTCTATTGGCGAACTGAGAGCGACATTCGCGGCGCTGCTGCTGTCGCACAAACCGTGTTTCCAGGCTCTCGTGCGACCCGCCGGGCTTTCGGGAAATAGGAGAGAGGACTTGGGAGAAGGCGACGGGGAGAGGCTTTCCCATGTGCGTTTCTTCACGCCGTTACCGCCGCCGCCGCCGCCGTTACCGGCGGTGTTGCGAGCGGCGTAGGAATGTGCGAAAGATGGCGAATCCATGGCGGTTCCAGTGAAATGCAAGGGGAAAGGTTTTCATAAGACTAATTTCTCACTGAAGGAAAGGCGACTAGAGTCTTTATGTTAGCAGAATCTGGGTTAAAATCCGGGTTAAATTGGGCTGAGACCTGGCGCCGACTACCCACCTCGGAACCCTCCTCATTTTCCTTCTCCCTCCCTCCTCCCCCAATTGTCAGGTGCCTGCAGAACGACACCGTCATAAGCTCTACGTGAGTCGCAACGCAAAATCCAGCGCAAAATCCACGCCGGTTTAGTCCACAACCCTTGGGACCGAGGACGGGACGAGCCCTTGAAAATGCCGTCTTGCAAGAAGTCTTTGGCGATTCGGGGATTTTCATGGTGCTCCAGTTTGGGGCCGACGAAGTTGAGGTGAGACACGTGGACGTACCTAGCGCGGACAGGTGACGGCGGCATCATAAGACTGCGAGCTCTGCGAACTTCGCGCGCCGTACCACGATCATTTGCGATCGTTTCGCTCCTTCTGGAATCCTCGAGAAGGATAGTCTCTCGAGGGAGCGCGAAGACTAGACGGATGCGGGCGGCGGAACAACCCGGAGAGAATCTCGACTACGTAGAGAAATACCTTCGGGAGAAATATTTTCGAGAATAGGCCGGACCACACCACTCTCCCCATGGCTTGCCGAGGAATCAAGCTTTTCTTGTCTCTGTGCTACAGCCCCCAGAGGTCGTTTAGATGCTGCGGCACGGTCGGCCTCGATTCTTGCCACAAGAATGTTGTTTCGGATAAACATTATGGACTATAGGTGTCAAAGGCAGAGTTCTGAAGGGGTTAAAGCCAGGGTCTCAAGTAGACCAAGTCTTTTGCAGTCGATGAAAAAGGGCCTGTCTGATTGGTTCACAAATCTGGGGCCAAAGCATTGTTTAATCTAAACTCGCCAATGAACCCACTTTTCGCCTTGGTGTTTCGGCCAACCCGTACTTGAGACCCTGGTTTTAAATGTGTGACTAGGATGACATTTACAGGGGAATGGGTGTGAGGTAAATACGGTGGACATGACAATCTGTCAGTTCAAAGAACTATATTAGTAGAGTGAACTGATCCATTCATCTTACTCGATCAGCAGTAACATACGGTACAAGTATCTAGCCTTTATCGTACAAGTTCCCCCGTTTAACCTACACCACTCGGTTACGAGCCTCTCTAGTGCGCTCCAGGTCCCTCACTGCCTGCCACCTCTCCCTCGAGAGCTCCCTCTCTCCAAAGCTTGCTGCTGCCAGGCGAGCCAACGTGAGCCACCTGCATGCAATGCCCACCCATATAGACAACCACAAATCAGTCATAGAAACAATATTGACTTACATGCACCGCCAACATCACTCAGCAACATGCATCACCCAGAAGCAAGCAGTGCGTACCTCTGAAAAGTATCGGAGTCGAGAGAGGGGTCCGCTGCCGCGCTGCCACTAGCTCGCGAGTATTGAGGCGTCTCAAAAGTATACCCCGCAACAGGCATGTCTCAGTAACAGCCATCCCCAAAAGCAGCAGACAGCACCTACCGGTGGAAAGTATCGGAGTCGAGAGAGGGGTCCTGCTGGCGCGCTGCCACAAGTTCCCTCTCCACTTGCTGCGCGCACAGGTGGGAGGGTGGGATGTGATATGTGAGGTGGGTGGGATGTGAGATGGTGAACACGGGTGGTTTGAGGATGGAAGGGGCTGTGACGCCCACACTTGGTGGCATGCACATGCCCATACTCTATCGTGCACATGCACATGCACATGCACATGGCACATGCACATGCACAAGCACATGGCACATGCACATGCACCTGTACATGCACATGCACCTGTACATGCACATGCACCTGTACATGCACATGCACATGCACATGCACATGCACCTGTACATGCACATGCACCTGTACATGCACATGCACTTGTACATGCACATGCACATGTACATGCGCATGCACATGCACATGCACCTGTACATGCACATGCACCTGTACATGCACATGCACCTGTACATGCACATGCACATGCACCTGTACATGCATGTGTATGTGCATCAGCAAACACGCACCTCTCGCATGTCCTCCTTGATCTCTCGTGCTCCAACAGCCGCATACACACTCACATACATATGCACATGCACCCCCATAAACACACTCTTCAAGCAGCAATGACACACACGCACGCACCTCTCGCATGCCGTCCTTCATCTCGTGCTCCAACAGCCACGTACACACTCGCATGCATCCACTCTCATCTGCACCACACTCATACACACGCTGTCTTATCTGCAAACACAGCACCCGCACCTCCCGCATGCCGTCCTTTAGAAGGGCCTCAAACCCGCACTCATGAAAAGGCTCTCTCCTTTGCAGCCGCATGCCACGCACCTCCCGCATTCCACGCACCTCCCGCATGCCACGCACCTCCCGCATGTCCTCCTTAATCTCGTGATCCAGCAGCCGGCAGCAGCCAATGTACCGCCGCCAAGTGGCGACCTCCGGCTCGTCCTCACGGACAGGCTGAGGTGGCGCCGTGCACCGCACTGGCAAGCTGACGTCAGCAGGCAGGAGGCGTGACGTGGCGTGCGAGAGAATGAGCACGGGAACATCACTCTGCATCTCCATCTTATAGTATTGAAAATCGTAATCCACTTTTTGCCACTCCAATTGCTCTTTAAGTGCCTGCAGGTTCTGACTCCCTAGCGCCGTCACCCTTCCCGGCTTTAAAGCCGTCTCGTCAAGAGTTAGGTGGGTCCCTGCTGGCAGCTGCAGCACGCCAGAGACTAGCCTGTCCGAGGTATAGTCCTTGTGGGGCGTGAGGCGGCGCGAGTTAAGATTGTCCAGGGAGAGCGGGAGAGTGTGGGTGGCTGGGAGGAGGGTTTGGAGAGAGGAGGTGAGGGCGGAGAGAGAGGGGGAGACGGCTTGGGAGAGTGAGGGAGGAAAGGAGGAGAGAGGAGGAGGGGTTGGAGAGGGAGTGGAGGCAGAGGAAGGTTCTGGGAAGCCGGAGAGGTTGAGGGAGAGTTTTCCCAGAGGCATGGGCTCTATGCGCGTGTGTACCTGATGGCATGCATGCATGCGCACATGAAATCATGCATATGCATGTAGATCCATTCATGCGCACAAGCAGAAATGGACACATGCATACATGCAGACATACCCAGCAATGCAGGGGACGGGAGGATAAAACGATGTTGAACCATGGTGCTACAGTGGGATGTGGATGGTGGCATTGCATGAACATGTGGAGTGAGATTTGCGGCATGATACCACACCACACCACACAATACCAGCAGAGCAAACGACAAATCATACACAGCAGATCCTATCATATGAAACGCAAGACATCATATCATGTCACATCTTAAGCAACAGCAATTCGTGTCATGCCCTATGCCCTATCACCTCATACCATACATACCCGCGACAGCAGGTGCAGCAGCAAATACTCTGCCGCCAGCCTGTCGCCGCCCAGAGCAGCAGCCAATCGGGACAACAACACTGCCCTGATGCCGGCTGCTGCCTGCATGGGGGATGTGCGGGGGAGGGGGGAGATGGTAGCAAAAGGAGCTTCAAGCAAGCCACTGCCACGTACAGTCATGGCTGCAACAACTTCTTTTTAGGCCCCTCCAAAAACAACAGCCGCAGGCACGTAGAGTCACAAGTCCTATTTGAGGCACCATCCATAGCAGCAGCCAATCGGGACAGCAGCGCCGCCCTGATGCCCGCTGCTGCCTGCACAAGGGATGTGGTGGGAAGTGGGGGGGAGAGGAAAAACGGGAGCAGGGGGAACGAGGAGAATGAGATTGATGGAAGGGAAGGCATCATGGAAGCGCGGACCGATGGGCAATTCTGAAAGCTGGAGACGTTGTGAGAACCCTAAACTCCGAAGACGACGAAACAGCGGCAATACTCACAGCGACAGTGGGCTCCGTGGCGGGCTGGAAGAGGTCAGGAAGCTTCCTCCAGGTGAGGCAGTGCAGGCGCAGCACCTGGCTGCTGGGCAGACACGCAGAGGGGCACGCTCCCATGCCCATGTCGCCTCCCATCCTCTCCACCTCCATCGTTGTGCCTGCGCCTGCGGTTGTCACTGCA